CCTTGCAGCAGCAAGCTGCATCTGTAAACGCATTATAGAGTACTGACTTATACCATAGTAAAGTGAATTACAGTAATCTAAATGAGATGGAACAAACAAGTGAATAATCTGTTCAAACTGATTTACAGAGAGTAAAAATTTGATTTTTGATAAATGCCGTAAGTGGAAGAAACTTGATTTGACCACTGCACTAATTTGTTTCTTAAAACCCAGGTTGCAATCAAAAAGAACACCAAGATTTTTAGCACAGGGTGTAAAGTAGGAAGAGAGATGCCCAAAATGAAAGGCACAGTTTTTGTATTTTCAAAATACATAAAATACTTTGTGCCAGTCAACCTCTTTATTAGGCTGCTGGTTTCCTGTATCAACTACTGTAGGTCCCCCAACCTTGACTCTATCATGAACACATGCTTCAGATGTCAGAGAAAATGACTCCTCCTAACATTGGGGAGCGAATTTTCTGCGTTCCTGCAAGGAAATATGAAGTAGGAGGTGGAGCTGGATTAAAAAAAGAATGGATTCTTTAATTCTGAGACATTTGGAATCAAGAGTCAATTCCAAAGTTTGGAGTTGATTGCACTCCAGGGTCCAGTTGCACCAGCTGGACATAAAAAGGTTGGGTATAAACCCTACGCTGGGCTTATCTTTTTATGTCATGATAAATATTTGCATCTAAAACAGGGGTGCCCAATCCTATTCCTGGAAATCTGCCTACCTGCAGAGTTCAGTTTTAACCCTGATCAAACATACCTGCCTGTAATTACCAAGTGCTTCTGAAGATCTTGATTACCTGGTTAAGTTCTGTTTGATCAGGGTTGGAGCTGAACTTTGCAGGAATGTAGTTCTCCAAGAACAGGATTGGGCAGCCCTGACCTATAAATTACGTGCAGCCACGGACAGTATCCTCACAGACACATTCTAAATTGATAGTTCACATTGTTATGGTTACAAACATAAATTTACTGGCTTCAGCGAACAGATTAAAAATGACTGTTGAGCCGGGAAAACAAATTGTGAAACAGTCACACAGCGATCTGTTCCTATTTATTACTTGTTGCAAATGCGGTGGTAATTTGTCAATAAATTCCAACAATTCAGCCCTGCTGAAACAAAATCTTTCAGTAAGTTCTCTGTCTCTATATACAGTGGGGCAAAAAAGTATTTAGTCAGCCACCAATTGTGCAAGTTCTCCCACTTAAAAAGATGAGAGAGGCCTGTAATTTTCATCATAGGTATACCTCAACTATGAGAGACAAAATGAGAAAAAAAATCCAGAACATCAGCAATTATTAGAAAATGGAAGACATACAAGACCACTGATAATCTCCCTCGATCTGGGGCTCCACGCAAGATCTCACCCCGTGGGGTCAAAATGATCACAAGAACTGTGAGCAAAAATCCCAGAACCACACGGGGGGACCTAGTGAATGACCTGCAGAGAGCTGGGACCAAAGTAACAAAGGCTACCATCAGTAACACACTGCGCCGCCAGGGACTCAAATCCTGCAGTGCCAGACGTGTCCCCCTGCTTAAGCCAGTACATGTCCAGGCCCGTCTGAAGTTTGCTAGAGAGCATTTGGATGATCCAGAAGAGGATTGGGAGAATGTCATATGGTCAGATGAAACCAAAATAGAACTTTTTGGTAAAAACTCAACTTGTCGTGTTTGGAGGAGAAAGAATGCTGAGTTGCATCCAAAGAACACCATACCTACTGTGAAGCATGGGGGTGGAAACATCATGCTTTGGGGCTGTTTTTCTGCAAAGGGACCAGGACGACTGATCCGTGTAAACGAAAGAATGAATGGGGCCATGTATCGTGAGATTTTGAGTGAAAACCTCCTTCCATCAGCAAGGGCATTGAAGATGAAACGTGGCTGGGTCTTTCAGCATGACAATGATCCCAAACACACCGCCCGGGCAACGAAGGAGTGGCTTCGTAAGAAGCATTTCAAGGTCCTGGAGTGGCCTAGCCAGTCTCCAGATCTCAACCCCATAGAAAATCTTTGGAGGGAGTTGAAAATCCGTGTTGCCCAGCGACAGCCCCAAAACATTACTGCTCTAGAGGAGATCTGCATGGAGGAATGGGCCAAAATACCAGCAACAGTGTGTGAAAACCTTGTGAAGACTTACAGAAAACGTTTGACCTCTGTCATTGCCAACAAAGGGTATATAACAAAGTATTGAGATGAAATTTTGTTATTGACCAAATACTTATTTTCCACCATAATTTGCAAATAAATTCTTTAAAAATCCTACAATGTGATTTTCTGGATTTTTTTTTCTCATTTTGTCTCTCATAGTTGAGGTATACCTATGATGAAAATTACAGGCCTCTCTCATCTTTTTAAGTGGGAGAACTTGCACAATTGGTGGCTGACTAAATACTTTTTTCCCCCACTGTATATCCAGAGGATTGATGCAGTTACTCTTTTCATTACTCTTTTCTGTTTATTTTTTTATCTGACTTTGTATTCTATTTTTATCTGTTTTACAGGGTTAGTTCACCCAAAAATGAAAATTCTGTCATTAATTACTCAAATTCGTCTCCTCCGCATCACCCTGTAAACAGCGTATGCTGTTCTGTGTCAGCTGCGTCACGCCGGATCTGTTTCCTACGTTGTGATTTGATTTGATTAGCTTCGTATAATTGCGGATGAACCACTGATGTCACATGGATTATTTTACAGATCTCCTTGCTCCGTTTCTGGACATGGGAACATTTCAGTTGCGTTGCTGTCTATGCAGGGTCAGACAGCTCTCAGATTCCATCAAAAATATCTTAATTTGTGTTCCGAAGATGAACGAAGGTCTTACGGGTTTGAAACGACATGAGGGTAAGTAATTAATGACAGAATTTTCATTTTTGGGTGAACTAACCCTTTAACTGTGGTATTTTTATTTTAAATACATTTCCATGTATTTGAGCCCATCTCTGGCGCGAGTGTGCTCATTATACCACAGCACGATTGTTGATTGTCTAAGGTGCTAGAAAAGCGAGAGTCCATAGTTTCTGTTACAACATCATTTTATCATCATAAAACACATTTTTGTGAGCAATCGGACATTCTGAGGAGTTGAGACAAGTCAGGAAGTTGATTTACAAAGCAATCTTTTGTGGTAGAGGTGATAGTTCTACCATATTTGTAACAAGGATTTGATATTGTAACCTTGGCTAAATTAAGTATACACACAACTAGATGATTTGAGATGTCATAGTTCTGTTGCAGTATTTCAGTGCCATCAATTTCGAAATAAATGAACTTTTCCACAACATTCTAATTTATTGAGATGCACCTGTATATGGCAATATCAAGAATGATTGCGACGATGAGTGGGTCCTGCTACGTGTTGTATAACTCCAATAGAGTTTAGAATGTTTATAAATTCTAATCCCAATACATGGATATTGAAATCACCAACAATCAAGATTTTATCTGCAGCTATAGAAAATCAGCAAATTCCACCTGGTGGCCTGTATATAGTAGCCAGTACAAATGTCAAAAGAGATTTATCATATTACACTAAATAATGTTATATATAGCACCATCACTTCAAAAGATTTATACTTGAAACCACACATCTGAGAGATACTGAAAATAAAATCATACTGAAATCATCTGGTTTTAGCTAGGTTTCTGTCAAATGGAGCACATCTAGATTATGATCTGTGATCATATCATTTACAAACAGTACTTTTGTAGAAAGTAATCTAATATTCATCAAGCCAAGCTTTATTTGTTTATCTGTAATATATCTGTTTTTTATTTGTTGAACATCAATTATTTTATTACCCTTAAATGGGTTTGGGTGTCTTTTTCACGTTTTGTACTGTAGAATCGCCAATGACTAGGGCACTTTCCACAGGTTTTTCAGTGACTTCGTCGCTGAGTTAGGAGAACCTGTTTAATGGTAAAAGCAAATAAAAAATTAACGGACAACAATTAAAAAATAACAGTCAGAGCCAGTTTGGATTTCATTCATGGATATCATTAATCAGTAACCCTAGTATCAAAATCTAGAAAAAAAAAAAAAAAAACGACATAGATTTTAGTAGGCAGTTATTTGCTTGGATCCTGTGTTTTTCCTTAATTTTTTTCTAAAGTTCTAATGATGGTTATATTTTGTAGCATACTTTGTTACATCTTGAAACAGATGGTCTGTAACAGTTGGGTTCGCAAGTTATTAAATTTATCACATTATTAAATTTATTGTAGACTATAAAATCTATAAAGACAATCACTGCAATCCTCTTAAGTTTTCTCCTGTGGTCACATCCAGTGAGCTTGGCTACAGTGCCACAGGCATTAAACTTCTTAATAACATTACGTATGGTGGAAACAGGAACATTAAGTTCTCTGGAGATGCACTTATAGCCTTGACATTTTCTACACTTGGCTATATTATATCTGATCTCCTCAGATAATTGTTTTCCTCAGATATTTTTTTTTCTTTTGTCCATGCTCATTAGTGACAAAATAGAGAAAATTAATTATTTTCTATTTTTTTAGACAGGTTAAATGTTTTATTTTCCCCACACAGATTTAGCTAATTTTTAAGTTGGTGACCTCACTGACCAACAGAAAACAGCTCACACAGAAGTCATTTTCAAAGCAAGCTGTGCATTATTATACATCGCTATTCTATTGACGATAGACAATGCAATTTTTTTACCCATGAAATGTCACTGACATTTTATGTATGTGACTGCGCCTTTGCCAGAATTTTATTTGAGAAAATGTGATTCTCAGTGCACAGACTTAACAGATTGCAGATTGCACTGTTGATGACTGGCTTACTTTCTTTTTTATTCATATGTTATATATGAAAATATATGTAGAATAGGATTATAGAACAGCTGATGTATAAATTGGATACTGTACTTCCTAAGATCAATGGTGATTAAAAACCATATAGGTCGTCCACTATACAATCATATAAAACATTTTTAAGGAACATGTGTTTAGGTCAAGGATGGACTTTCTTGAACACCTTCTTGCAGTTTGCTTTAGGTCCTTCTGACTTTGATATGTGCAATGTGGTGGATGAGGAACTGAAAGAAGGGACATCTCATGGTGTTAAAGTCCTCTATAAGTTCCCCTGGGGCTCAGAGACCCTGGAGACACTGTGGAGCCTGGGGGACACGCTACTGCTGAAGACTCACCAAGGAACTTGTACGAAACTACAGGTCAGAGCAAACAGTGTTTGTTTAAGGTGTAATTTAGTTTGTCAAATTAATTTTACTAACTTTGCTAATAATGATGATTTTATATATATATATATATATATATATATATGTACACTAGGGCTGGGTATCGATTCAGATGTCCCGATTCGATTCGATTTCGATTCGCAAGCTTTCGATTCGATTCTCGATTTTTTGATTACATTCAGTGAATATAGTTTTAATATAAATGTTATTGATATTTCTAAAAAATGAACAGTAAACATCAGTTTACAAATAGTGAATTAATAA